CTGCAGCCTCTAGATGGCAACCTTCTTCTTCCTGCCTCTCAGAGGCAGCAGATGTGATGAGCGCTAACATCAGGCCTGATGTTTCACTGAGACGAGGAGCAGAACTTGTTTCTGGGTTCTATCTGTGGCTCTGTGGATGCTCTGCACCGGACTCACTATTTACATCTGGAGCAAGAGGAAACTAACTGTAGCCGTGCTTTGTCTGGTTTTTCTTGTTTCGTGCAGTTTGTGAACACCTAAGGATCAGCTTTGTCTGTTCAGCTTGTTAGCTGAACTTCCTGCCACACAGCCTGCTCTGTCTCTGACATCTACTGGGAAATGTCTGAACATTTACAGTGCTGAGCTGAAAAACATGCTCCTCCATCACAGGTTCATGGGTTTAGGTGAAAACATTTCAATCTGAGAACTGCGAGCAGCAAAAAAACTGCATTCTTTGCAGCATGACGGCTCAGTGGTTAACACTGTTGCCTCACAGCAAGAAGGCCCTGGGTTCAATCCCCGGTTGGACCTGGGGTCTTTCTGTGTGGAGTTTGCATGCTCTACTCGTGCTTGCGTGGGTTTTCTCCGTGTACTCCGGTTTCTAAAAACATGCATGTTATCTGCCTTCAGGCCCAGGCCTCCAAGAGATCTGTGATCTCAATGGGATTTGCCTGGTTAAACAAAGGTTAATAAATAAATTCTGTGTAAAACACCGAGAGCTGAAACTTGCTAAGGAAGTTGCTAAAGCTAAAGAAGCAGAACATTGGCTAAACCTGAAGATGAACAAAAAGAAACAAAAATGGCAGTTATGAGCTAAAACTACCAAAACTCTAGCTACAAAACGGGTGGAAGTGGTGAATTACAAATACTCAACCTACTATAATTAAGTACTGGTAGATTTTTTGGGTACTTGTACAATTATGAGTATTTCTTTCAAGTGTGTAATTTTACTCCTACTTAAGTACAATTTAGACCATGTAATCTACTTTGCTACTTTTAAAATCAGATGTCGCTCCTGAGTACGGCCACAATTTGAATTAACATTCAAACCGTTCATCTGCATCTTTGTAGCCAATAAGGCTCTCAGATCACGAACACACCAGTTACCTTTGATGTAAACAAAGGACGAGTCTGTAGAGTAGAGAGTCATTTATGGACCGAAGATTTGGAGAAAAAGCCAAAATGGAGACAGAGGACAACACTGTCAACAGAGAAAATGACGAGGTACAAGCTGAGGCCGAGTGATAGTGACCGTACCTGGAGGAATGTTTCATGTACAGAGGGTGAAAAGGAGACAGCGTCCAGATGCAAACTTTGTTTGATCTCTACGGTGATAGCAGCATCAAATCTCTAAAAACATATTGCAGTATATGAGGTTTTACAACTACCTGCATGGCATTGCTTGTGGGTTATTAGTTTGACTAAGTATGTGAAGATCTTAGATCTTGTCACTGTCATTGGTTTGACTGGTACTAAAATAAGACGGAGCTTCTGAGAAATGTGCTTTGAATGTAGCTGTTATATTTATATTTATTATTTATTATTTACAGTAAATCAAACTGAATGCCTTCTACTGACAACACAATAAAACATCAGTTGGTTAAAAAGTAATTAATACTCTGAGTAGTTTTTGAGAAGAGTACTTTGTACTTTTACTTAAGTTTTTTTATAACACCAGTACTTTTACTTATAACTGAGTACAATTTAAGCAGTGTAACAGTACATGTACTTGAGTACAAATTTTCAGTACGCTTTCCACCTCTGCTAAAAAATAGGAAAACACTAGCTAACTAGCTAAAAGAGGAAAAGGCTAGCTAAAAGCTCCATCTTCTACCTCTTATGCGAAGTCGTGTTGTGGAGGCGACAGGTCCAGGAGAGAAACGTTTCTCCCCAGGGACACGTTCCAGCTCGTTCTGGAAGCTCTCAGGCCTCCTACCAGTGGGACGTGCCTGGAAACCTACCCTTTTGCTATTTTTTAGCTAAAAGCTAAAAATGGTAAAAGAGCAGCTAGAAACTTTGCTAATAGAAGCTAAAAGTAGCACAGATGGAGGTTCTGTATAAACCAAGTATGAACATGCTGTACAGTAGAGGCAGGGAAATGTCCCAGTGTGTGTTCTGGACTCCAGTTTATCCTTCACTGTGCTGAGATTAAAGCAGGAATAATCTTAGTCTAGTTCATGGGTTCTTGTAGTTTTTCCAGGACCTGTTCTAACTGTCCCGCCGTTCTTGGGCAGATTTTTTTTTTTTCTGATTTAGCTTCAGATCCAGGACACACCTGCTGTTAGTGACGGACTCTTTGTCTAACATCGGAAAAGTCGTTCATCTGTCTAAATAATCTGAATATTACACGTAATTTTTTTTTTTTTAATTTTCTTGTTTTTTATCCAAATATTGACTGAGATTTGATAGAAATGAGTTTTGACCCCCGGGTCAGGTCAGTGTCTTCAGTCTGATTTTCAAACGTCTGCTTTCTTGTGACCTGCAGTGAGTCTGATTTTAATGATCACATTGGCTGGACATCTGTGGCTGATGCACAAACAGCCGAGACAGCACGGCCGGCAGAGCGGATGGTTATTTTCAGCTGATGATGGAGGAGAAGGATCTTCTGTTTCTGTTGGTAATTTGGGAGAAGAGGTAATTTGCCAGTTTATCATGAAGACAGACGGTGTAGGAGCGTGTCCCCACACTGTCCAGACGAGGGGGGCTCCCTCTCGGTCAGCACGACCACTGAGCCACCCGTGTCTTATCCGTGCAGATGTCCTTCCACGGTTCTTTCACTTTCTTTATCCGTTTTGCTGAAACGGTGGTAAATTTGGCTCAGCATAGCAGCTTTAGAGAAAGAAGACACGCCCACAAAGTTCTGACCAATCACACATCACTTGGCCCCTGGATGGGCGGTGGTGTGTTTCTGACGCTTGTGCACAGAACGGGTTCTCGGAGGCCATCATTTCTGTAAACAAAAGTACGTGAGCGAGCCCGGAGTTCATGACGTCCTACAAAATATAAACCAGCCTAAACTGAGCACACGAATGTCTCATGAAGAAGAAGTTTAATGAAACTCTCAGGAAGGAGGCGGTGTCTGCACATTCAGTCTGTTGGCGTTCAAGCCACAGTGAATCAGCTGTAGCCCAAACTAAACTGACTGTGTCTCAGTGAGATGGACAGATGTTGAGATAACATTTGGTGGTAGTAGCTGAGAGTCATTGAACATCTCAAAGAATTAAAATATCGTGAAACCAATCAAACTCTTCACAAAGTGAAACTGGACTGTGTCTCAGTGGTCCAACGTTCTCCTTACTGATTAAAGTAAATGTTCATGTCATTTGTAAATGAAGTCTCAGAGTGTGGAGGAAGAGTGGAGAGGTCCAGAATCCACGTTGTTCAAGTCCAGAGTGAAGTTTCCACAGTCAGTGATGGTTTGGGTCCATGTCCTCTGCTGGTGCTGGTCCACTGGGTTTTCTGAAGTCCACAGTCCACGCAGCATCTAGCAGGACATTTTAGAGACTTCATGCTTCTTCTGCTGACGAGCTTCATGGAGATGATGGTTTCATTTTCCACCAGGACTCGGCACCGGCCCACACTGACAAAGGAACCAGAACCTGACTGTGGAATAGTCTCAGTTTCTGAGACACTGAATTCTATTTTTTTTTAATTTTCTGTAAGTTATAAACATCAAAACTACAAGAAGTAAAGGCTTGAAATATTTCACTCTGTGGAATGAATCTATGTAAAATATGAGTTTTACTTTTTGAAGTGAGTGACAGAAAATATTAAAGTTTTTCACGATATTTTAATGTTTTGAGTTGCACCTCCAACAGATTTTGTGAAAATGCAGCACAAGATTGTACAAAATGTTATTTTCAGGGTTCGACTAAAATGACAATACCTCTATAATATTTCAGCATAAGACAGTTGGAATCCAAACCTGGCATGACGGACATGAAAAACCTGTTTACGTGATTTTGCTTACTTGAATATTTGTACTCTCATTCGTCGGAGTCTGTGCGTCATTAAAGTTAAACAAATAAAGTTTCATTAATGTTTTCCTTTAAACACTGAATGAAGACTGCAGTACAGTGACAGATGCAGCTTTAGGTCTAAAAGAAGTCTGTAATCATTAGTGGGAGGGAGGGGTGAGTTGTGGGGGCAGCACAGGTCAAAGGTTAATCAGGGTCAGGAACTCGGAGCAGGGCTCGCTCAGCCTCTTTTCCTCTTTGTGTGAAAATGAAAGGTCAAAGCTCGTGGCTCAGAACATCCAGCTGGATTTTGATCCGTCAGACAGAACATGGGGGGGGGGGGGGGGGGGGGGGGCTGATTTTCTTCCTGTAGTCCACCTGCAGCTCTTTAGTTTTTCCAACGTTGAGTTGCGGGTGGTTCTGTCCACCACACCTCTGTATTCGGCTTCTTGGTCACCAGTGATGCAGCCACAATAGCAGAGTTATCCAAGAACTTCTGCAGATGTAGGATTGTGAGTTGTACCTGAAGTTCGAGGTGTAGAGTCACAACAAGACCCAATGAAAAAAAGATGTACTCAGTAAAAATAAGTTTTATGAATTTTGTTTTCAAATCCATCAAGCCTGAAAAGGGTAGAGTGCCATCTCCGGGTCGGGGAGGAGAACCTGCCCCAAGTGGAGGAGTTTAAGTATCTCAGGGTCTTGTTCACGAATGAGGGAAAAA